ACACTAACACCTCACCTCCACCCACAGCCACACTAACACCTCACCTCTACCCACGCCCAACCACACACACAAAGTTGTCACTCATATTTAGATAATATGTATTTTAAGAATGATTATATGAAATGTAGATTTGAGTGTACTTGACTCTAATTGAATTATTTACATGTAATATAAACAAAATACCACAAAAAAAGGAGATCAAAAATTAAATTTATAAATGTTTATTGGATATAAAAAAATCTTTTAATAATCATATTGATTTATAATACAAACCAGAGGTGTGCGGGGCAATGATTTTTGATGCCCCACGGGCCCCGCCCCGTGTAACGTGTTAAATCCGTCCCGCCCGTCTTCGTGGGCAAATTCTTATAACTCTTCCCCGCCTCGTCCGCCCGTCAAATTTTAAAACCCGCACCGCCCGCCTCCCGTGTAGTCTACTTTTTTTTTCTAGCCCGCCCGCCCCGTCAATTTTCTGACGGGCCTCGCCCCGCCCGTATTACCCCGAAGATATTTCAGTTAATGATTGAAATTTTAATAAATTGTTTATCTTATATATTTAATTTATTTATCATATAAAGAGATTTATTACAAGAAAAAATCGTGACACGTCAGTTACGCGCACGACGTATGCGCTCAAGACATAAACGCGCACGACGCTTGCGCGCAAAAAAAATCTTTGCGTGCTGTTCTCGTCTGATTGAATTACTCATATGTATTATCAGAAATAAAAATGTTCTGCTAGTGAGACTGGTTTATTAAGAAAATACATAGAAGATATTAATGAGAATCAAAAGATTATCTAGTTTTAATATCAAACTTGCTTTTTGTATCAAAATGAGATTAAAACTAAAAAAAAATCAGATAAAAGTATAAAGAGAAAGTATACATATATATGTGCGTATTATTTTAATAATTTCTAAGATATAAATGTCTGTTATAAAATCAGTCAAAGGCAAAGACCAACGCATAAAATATGAAAAAATTGATCTTCGAATACGAAACATGGTCGAAGAATATCATACTGTTTCTAGGAATGACTATTTTAAAATAGCCAGATCAGTATTTAATTTTTGAACGAGTACATTCTTTATTCTCAATTATTGTTCACTTAGCGTATTTGTTTGTTTATTGTAAGTAAATACTACTTATCTCTGTTAGTAATTTATATCAATATGTTTTTTGAAATTAAGAACAATTTTTTCATCAGCAGTTAAGCATATATTTCTGCCCGTTCATAATTCAAACGAAATTTAAAAGAAATATTTTATCATCTTTTTCTCAATTCGCGCGCAAATGTCTATATGCTCAACCGTCGCACGCGTAAGTGTCATGCGCGTAAATGTCCGCGCGTAACTGTCGGTCAATCATATCTATCGATTATTCTCGACGGTCCTATATTATATCTCAAAAAATTTCTTTACCCGCCCGTAACCCGTGGAAATTATCCTCGCCCGCCCGAGGATCGTATCATTTTATTTTTTTTTGTACCCGTCCAGCCCGCCGATTAGTCTGCAATACCCGTAGCCCGCCCGACCCGAGCAAATTTTTCAAAAAACCATCCCCGCCCGCCCGTCGCCACGTGGCCACGTGGCCCCCGCGGGTCGAAACCCGTGACCCGCACACCTCTGATACAAACCAACAAAAATCATGATATTTGAAAGGAAGACAGTATTGAACGATCAGTTTAAAGTTACGTGTACAGCAAAATATTCAAGATTTCTAAAATATCAGCCTATCCAGAACGACAGATTTTACTGGGTCATGTCAAGTTAAGAGGCATGAAGCAATCATGGCGCAATTTGATATAGGATGAAAAAGTTCATGAATGTGTTATTCAGTCAAGAACAAAATATTTTGTCGTCCACCGACATCGTTACTAAGAAAAGAAACAAAGAAGAACGTGAATAAAGAATTAGGCGATTATATATTTTTCTTTCGATAGCTATTTCCTTATTTTCGAAGAAGATATGATATATATGTGAATAAAAATCATTGACTCACACATAAACGGATCGAATAAGTATCTTTTTCGATAATACTTTTTAACATTTAATAATGACAACAATAAAATCTATTGAATGTTTACCGAACGAACTTTGGTTATTATTTATGAGTTTTCTTCCACCAATTGATCTTTATAGAGCACTGGCTGGTCTTAATCATCGTATTAATTATTTACTTTCTTCGATGACTCCACGTCCGGTTCTCGATACATCTCAATGTGCTGGTGATGGAATATATTTTTCTAATCTTCATCAATTAATCGCTGGCAAAGATATTTGGTCTCAATTTCTTCTTTCTTCAATCGATACAATTCGTCTTTATGGCACACTTGCTGGTGATGCACTTTTTAAATACTATCAATCTCCAAAGCATTTGTCTTCAAATCCAACTTCTTTCTCACATTCATTTCCTTCACTTCGTCGATTGTATATAACAGAAATTTCTGAAAAAATCGAAGTATCACAACTGCTTATTCCGCTATCTACAACGCTTTCTGATGTTTATTTCACATTTGCTGCACCAATGCGCCGCTCATCGTACTATAAAGTGGTGAATGATTTTACTAATCATAGTTTATCATTTTATCGTATGGTATTTGATGTTGAAGATGGTAAGTTTCTGGGTCACTTTTGTATCAATCTTTTTGATCTCAAATAAAAATTTATTCTTCCGCAGACTGATAACGCTGTACACTAAATAATCTAATTGAAAGAAGGAATGAAAGAGTGATAGTAGAAAAATAAAAGAGTGTGAGCGTTATGATATTATCTGATCAGACTAAATATTCAAATATTTGAATTTTCTTTTAGACGATATTGGTGAAGATACGAATTCATATCATTATGGATGGAAACGAATGTATTTACCAAATACTGTCTATTTATCACTTTGTATCAAACGATTAGATGACCTATTCAATCTTCTTGATACTCAAGCATTACCTGTTCTTGATCATCTCAGTGTTGTTTTTATCACACGTGATCTCAAATACGATGCAGAAATGGTGAATGTCAACAATATAACAAGTCGTTTACGTTCTCTCAAACTCAGATACATGTCAATGAACAATCTTCTCGTCTTTCTTTCATCCGTTCATATGCCTTTACTCGAAAAGCTCACACTGATTGATATTCATGACAATAGTAAGTTTATCGTTTCAATTTCTAACTAAACATTGAATTGTTTTTTAATTTAGCACTCAATCGTCTTAGCGAGTTTCAAAAATATTTTGAGACAAAGACAAATCTTCCTGGCCTTCGTCCATCATCATTTCGATTTCTACTTCGTTTTCCTGGTGAACTTGAAAGCAAATGGAATACATATCGCTATTTACAATGGCCACTTGATGTTGTCAACATTGATCATTGTCTTGAAGAGCATCGTTTATCTACTACGGCATACTATCGTTCACGAGCATTATCACTACCAAAGAAATATTCACTTCTTATTTTTACTCGTTCCTCACTGCCTTCCCATCGAATCATACATAATTATTCTGCTGCAGTGACACTCAAACAAACATCATCAATAAAATGGACTTGCGATTACATTGATAATTCCGAACAAGTTTTTGAAGTTTTGTCAAAGTTTGGGACGACAAAGAAACTCAAAATTGGAAGATGGTCCGGAACAAAACTGCAAAATGTATGTGAAAATCTCATTACTCAAATGCGATTTGAAAAAGACTATTGCAAGTCTTCATGTATACATCTGAATCAACCTTTGTCTCATATTAGTGACACACATTGATCACAACAGTTGCTATCTGAGCTGAGCAAGAGTTAAACCTCTAGACTACGAGTACTTTTTCCAGCTCTGGTTGCCACACTATAGGGATATAAAATGAAGTACGCAATATAAGAACTTTGTAAAGATTAATGACAGTTAATAGATATTTCTCCAACAAAAAGATATTAGATTGAGAAAGTGATCTATATGTCAAAACTATTTGTTTCTGAAGTTATAATGCATGAAATGCGCAAACTTCAAGGTTTCTCCATAATATTTGAGTTTCTTTTCAAGTAACTCAAATACCGTATGTATGTAAGAGAAAAGTCAATCGTGTAGAAATAAATAAAAGAAATCAGTATGTCTCTGTTAGCTGTTTGAATATTCTTTTATTTTTAGATTGCTGCGAAATCTATTATCTTTTCGTCACCATCTAATCAATTCCAATTAGATAAACTTCATTCACTCACCTTGTTCAAAACTGAGGGTTCAGAGAACTTTCTATTTAAACCGCAACGACATTTCTTTCTCCGTGTACTTCTTTCAACAGCAACGCAACTTGTTAAATTAACTATCAATTGGAATTATATCATGAGCATCGATTCAAATTTTACCAAAGAACATTCTGCTGTCTCACCTCTCCTCAATTTACGTCACTTACATTTGTGTTATTTCAATGCAGATAGTAATTATCAGTTTTTAAAATTCTAAAAACATAGAGACATGAGTTTATCTAAAACAGATGCCTATTTATGTGCATAGTAATTGTGAGTTGAAAACTGCCACAGATATGATTTATTTGGGTTATTAGCATTAAATTCAAAGTTATTTTTTCATTTATTAATAGCAATAAGAGAACATCTGATATGATGAAATTATTCAAACGTAAACAGTCTTAAACAGCCAATTTTCTTTTCTTTTTTTAGAACAAATCAATTTGTCACAGTTAACCGATATTTCTCGGTTATCGAAATTATTTCCAAACCTTATTTCATTCTGGACGAGTGGATGGAATATACCTCTGGATGAAAATTTTGCAAAATTAGTTATATTGATTGTCACCCATTTTGAAAAACTTGCTGAAGTTATCATTAGCCAAGATTCTCATCGCCGATGTTTAAGTATGCAAGATTATGGTTTATTATATACTGAACAACGTTATGTTGAAAACATGTTAAGAAGTTTTCATAAGCTCGATGACCCAAATCGTACGAGTATTTTTTGGACTAATAGTCATCATTTACGCATTTGGTTATAAAGAATAGTTTTCTTGATTAATAAAATGAAATTCGAGATGTTATTGTGGATATCCTCTTTTCTTGAACAAACTATATGTAAACTCGTAATAAATATTTAAAAATATTGTCAACTGACATTTAATATATAGAAATATGCATTTTTGCTGCTAATAGCACTGATTCACATGATCGATTGATTACGGATTAAACTATTTCTGATGCTATGACGAAAAGACATCCGTATCATGCAACTTATTTACTTGTTTTCATAATATTTGATCTTTATCAAAATAAAACTCATGCTTTTTCAGACATAAAAATCGTATGAGACTTTTAATGTGTCATATTCATATCAGTAGAGCGATTATCTGAAAGTAGTATTGGAAGTGATACTTCATTAAAGTATGAAGCCTTTTTTTTATTAATACAAAAAAATGAATTCAATGACTGATGTATAGTGTCACATATGAGTTTTATTTAAGTAGGTAAACTATACATTCGGTCATACTCTTGTCAAAAGGCCATACATAAATACATATATCGATAGATTACCTCATGTTAGTTATAGTGCTTTTTGTAGGCGAATCGGATAGAGAAGAGAGAGAAAGAGAAAGAGAGAGAGATAATAATCCGATAGTGAATGTAGATTGTCTTTGAGTACATATTGCGTATTCATTGTCTCTTCCCATCAATAATAAATCTTTCGGGTAAAAATATTTACTCAACTTGATCTTTATAGCACAATTGAACAAATATAAGTGATTCTTTTTTTTATTTTGTAGTTAAACGAAAAAGCATGTTTCAAATTTGTCTACTCTATTGTATCTTAACTATTCAGAGTAAATGTTTTTTTTCTATAGTTAAATAGTATTTATTAATTAATATCTATTAACTAGATGTTATTTCAAAGAACAGTGAATTTGTTTGTCCGCAAGATGGACGATGGCCTCATCCAACAGATTGTGAAAAGTTAGATTTTATTATAAATATAGTAAAATTCTATTATTTTATTTATATAATAGATATTATACTTGTAATACAGGAATCAGTATCGAAGGATGGTAAGTACGTAGAAATTTAAGATATATATGATGAATTGATTGACATTTAATTGTACAGGTGTGGTACTGGTATGACCTATGATCCAGAACATAAACGATGTGATTTATCAAAAAATATCGATTGTCAGAATGGTGAAAGACCAGGCTGGACACCACCAGAAGGATGTAAATTATTTTATTTTATTTATTTAATATTCTAGATTTTAGTTTACTTTGAAAATTCATAGGGGGACAAAGTGAAAGTGTAACAAGTTATGTTATAACAAAAACTACCAAAAGTTTTGATGATGATGATGATGATAATAAAAATGAAGTAGTAAAAAAGACAACTCGTACACCAAAAAGACGTAAAACTACAACAAGACCAGCAACTATAGCAACAAAAGCAGCACGACTTCATGTAACATTATCCATATCTCAACTTATTGAAAATAGTGAATGTACATTTCAAGGTCATATGCCAGATCCAGATAATTGTCAAAGTAATTATTTGAATAATTCATTTTATTTTATATCTCTAAATGTTTAGCTTTTTTTTTCTTCTTTTGATTTAAAGCTTATTATGCATGTAGAGAAGATGTTGTAACACGTGTTCATTGTCCAGAAAAACAATTATTTGATGAAGATACTCGAATATGTAATGATTATCGAAAAGTTTTCTGTGCAAATCGACCAGTTAATGAACGTGGATATGATCCATGTAAAATATAATTTTTTTTTTCGAATAAAAAATTTCTATTTTCTATCATTTAGGTATCGGTCAACAGAATGGATGGTATGTTGATAACGAAAATCAATGTCGATCCTATTATTTATGTACAGAACAACGTAAAACAAAAATGGGAGAATGTACATCAGGTTTTAAATGGAATTCAGCTAAATTACGATGTGATGATCCAAGAAATATTGCTATACCTTGTATGATTTTTTTTTCAATAATAAACTTATTTTTCTATTTATCTTCTCTTATTAAGGTGGCCTTCGTAGTAATAATGCCATTCCATTGTTTCATCAACATTATTTAACAATTGTTATCATTTTTTCTTCGTTCTCTTACTTATTAACCTACTAACAAATTGTTTTATATTACACATAATAATAAATTATAAGTTGATGACGTACTTTGTAATGTATATAATACAGCGAGAGAGAATATATCATCAATAATCTATTTTTTATATTTCTATATCTCTAGAGTCAGTTTTGTTGCTTAAGAAAGAAAAGGACGTATTTACGTGCTTCTATTTTTGAATAATGTATAAATGAATATGAAGAAAAGAGACAAAAAAATGAAGATTAATTTTCATAAATCAATTTATTTTTATGTATGTATGTATACACTGCGAGTAATTTAAACTATCAACTATTGTTTCTTTTAAGTAAATAAAATCATAAATAATGACTTTCTATTTTTTCTTGTCAATGACATTCGAAAAAATTTCAAGATCAATTTCCGCATTTTCTCTAGTTGTGTACACATATAAACATATTTAGACTTTTCCGGTTAGAATAAATGAATATTTATATATCTTCTATATATAATTGTAGCTCTCATATATATTCTAATTCCTACTTTTCATATTTATATCTATAGTGTTACTACGCAGTTCTAAAATATATTATTTACTATATGATTGCATGATTAAACCAAAACGTGATGAAGTACATACACATTAATATTGTTTTGAAAAAAACTCTTTCGATAGATTTTTATCAGTTAAATCTAGTGGTATTGATGTCTTAACATTATGGAATAGGTGAATAAAGAAGAGAAGTTCGATAGTAAAAATGTCTTGACATTTTCCGTATGGTTAAATAAAAAAAAGTACAATTAGTATCAAATTGCAAACAACTACATACACAACAAGATCACGTAGACCTACGCATCCTATTATCCTTCCTTATAGATAACAGTAAAGAACAAAATGCGCTAGAAAGAATAGAAGAAAACAGCTGATACTATAAGACCTTCTAGTTCGCCCAATCACATGAGTCATAATATACTTGTTATGAAGTAGGCACGACAGTAGATTTTTTTCTTCTCTTTTTCTCCCTTGTCGATAGTCTGATGCTCACATCATTTTCTTCTACAGGAAGTCGACTATATATTCGTATCTAATGCTACATATTGTTTGTTTTTACTTTAGATGAAATAATCCTTGATTGATCATTATACCATGAATCAAAATGATGATAATGATGATGATGATGTCGGTGGTACTACAACAGATACTTCAACAACAAAATCAAATAATTCAATAAGTTTATATGAAAAAATTATTTTTATATTAATATGTATATGTAATATGATTCAAAATTCTATTGTTGGTGGTGCAAATAATGCTATAATGACAACACTTGAATCAGGTTTTTATATGACATCAACTGAAACAGGTTTATTTCAATCAGTTTATGAACTTGTTGCTATATTTGCTTATCCAATAATTGGTTATTTTGGTGATCGTAGTGGTCGAAAAGTACGTTGGATAGCTATATCAATGGGTATTTTAGCTAGTGGTTTTTTTGTTATGTCATTTCCACATTTACTTGAATCAAAACGTGGTAAACCACCATTAGATCCACGTGTAGCAGATCATTTAACATTATGTAATCCAAATCGAACAATAAATGTTTGTTCAGTTTCGAATAATCTTAGATTTTTAAGTCATTTAAAATATGTCTTTTATCTATCAAATATAATTAATGCATTTGGATCAGCTGCTTTACCAACATTAGCTGTAACATTAATTGAAGATTTATTTTCACAAGAAAAAGCACCGATAGCTCAAGGTCTATAATCTTAATAATTCATCGCATAACTCATATCAACTTTAATTTTTCTAGGTATTTATTATGCAATTGGTGGAATAGGTATTGGTCTTGGTTTTCTTGCTACTTCACAATTTCTTAAAGTTTATACATACATAAAAAAACCTGTTTGGTTAACACCTCATTATTCGGAATGGGTTGGAGCTTGGTGGCTTGTCTATGCATTATGTACATGTTTAAGTTTAATTCTTTGTTTGTCTCTTTTTTTATTGGATCTCAGTCGACATCATCGTTATTTTACATCGAAAAAATCTAGACAATTATCAATAAATCCTACATATCAAGTTGTAACAACAGCAACAACATCAATTAATACTGAAACTCGTGTTTCACGTACAAGTTCATCAGCAACAAATTCTAGTTTAAATATTAATGGTATTCCTAATGAATCATTATTAACTGTTGAACAAACAATACCAAGTATAAATGGTGATGAATCTGTAAAAACAAAAGATTTTTGTATTGATATAATATCATTAATAAAACATTTACTTTTTAATTTACGTTATATGGGTGTTACTGGTTGTGCTGTTATTGAAGCATTATTAATCAAAGGTTATTTAGCATTTTTAACTAAACATATTGAATATCAATTTCGTACAACATCATCACATTCAAGTGTTTTTATGGGAATTATTTCATTATGTTCAGTTATATTTGGTGCACCATTAGGTGCATATTTTGTTAAAAGATTCGATATGAACGGTCGACAATGTGCAAAATTTTGTTGTATTATTTTAGCAATATCATCTGTGATCTTTCTTGGATTAATGCTTCATTGTCGTGAACCAACAATTGGTAAGAATCTTTGTTCTTTTTTCTCGCTCTTTTCTAAATAAAATATTTATAGGAACAACACATTCCATGTCTGTTATATCAACAGCATTTGATGAAGATTTTTTTGATGAACCATTAATAGAATCCGATCGAATTGAGAGTCCTTGTAAAAGAAAATGCAGTAAGATTTATCTATTTTTCTTTTTGTTGTAAAATATAAAAATTTTATTTTAAGAATGCGATATGAATATCTATCAACCAGTATGCGATTTAGTCAATCAAGAAACTTATCAAAATCCATGTTTATTAGGTTGTCGAAAAATACTCAAAGGAAAATATGCTGATTGTTTATGTTTACCAAAAAACAGTACTGTTAGTGTTGGTAAGAATTTATAAAGAATAAAAAAATATTCGAAAGACGTCATTCTCAACCTTTTTTGTATTAGTAAAAGATCGATTGAAAAGGACAAACAATCAAATCTGATATTTTTAAATACTAGCTTAACGGAGAGATTTGGTTGGCTTCGAGGTCTATTCATGGTGATAATAAAATGAAGGCATCAGTTAAATTTCTTATCTTTATTAATTATTAAGTTAGACGTCTAGACAAGAATTCAGGATGTATTAGCTCGTTTGAAATAGCTTCAGGTTATCTTTTAAGCAATGAACTGTTAAATATAGACATTAATCAGTCAGTCTGCTTTTTCTCTAATATTCGCGTGAATAACATACTCGACGTCAAAAAGAAGATTCGAAATGATGAACAATTGAATATGACATATTCAATAGACTTAAAAGATTAATGTCTCGAATAATTAAAATAAACCTATGTTTTTCTTCTCAATTATAATTTAGGTCGATGTAAAGAACGTAAATGTACAATTAATTTAGTTATTACATTATGTGGTGCATTTATTGTTGTTTTTATGTCTTGTTGTGTTATTGTTCCAGCACTTAAATGTACATTATATAGTGTTGAACCAACACATCGAGCATTTTCACTCGGTTTTAAATCAACAATAACAAAATCACTTGGCTATTTACCAGGAACAATTTTATTTGGTACAATTATTGATCGTACATGCAAAACATGGATACGTGAAACATGTGGATATAGATATCATTGTAAACATTATAATAATAAACGTATGGCTATATCATTAGCCTTACTTGGTTTTGGTTTTCGAAGTTTATCGGCATTATTTTGTGGAATATCTTGGTATGCTTATAGTAAAACGTCTGATAAAAAAGAAGAAAAAAAATTACAAGTCATCACAACAACAACAATAAGTACTATAACAACAACTGGTGAAACGTGATGAATTTCATGCTGTGCAAAACAAAACAAAACAAAAATATTTTTATTTCTAGTCATATATATGTTGAAATACTTCTATTTGTGAATTTAAACTATAATGTTTTATTTTACAGTGAAGATATTGTATGTTAATGATTGATGTTAAAATAAAATAGAAATTTTTAAAAATATCTAAGATTTCGTTATTTTACTAACTGAACTATTCTGTTACATATTGACAAGTCAATTAAGATTCTTTTCTTCATTCCTTTATATTTATCAAAAAAACCTTGTTCAGTGATGGTTATAATAAAAAAAATCGATAGATATTCTTTCAATTTTTGTTGTTCTTCTTTTCTTTTCAAAACAAAAAAAAACAATTACAATATGATTTATCTTCTTGTTATTGTTGTTTTTCTTTTATTAATGATGACGATGTTCAAGAAAGAAAACTATTATTAATTTAAGCTTCTTCGCCTTCATTTTCTTCTTGATTGATATTGAAGTAACGTAATTCATAGGCATCTTTTGAATTAGCAATAACACGTAACCAATCACGAAGTTCATGTTTTTTCAAGAATTTTTTTGTTAAATATTTCATATAACTAAATAATGAAAGAAGATTATTATTTAATAAGAAAATAACAATTTAAACTTTTACCGTTTTGAAAGTGGAACTTCAGATGTAACAGATATTTTCGATTTAGCCCGTTCAACACCAACATTACCAGTTAAATTTGAAGTTTTACCATTGATCTTCATTTTTTCAAGTAAAAATCGTTCCTGAATTAAATTTCAAAAAGAAAAATTAAAATAATAATTAGAAAAAAAACCGAAATGAACGATGACAATACATACAAATGCATTAAGATCAAAAATACCATCTTCAACGGGATGTGTACAATCGATATAGTATTTGATAGCCTTATGTTTCTTTTTAGCACCACCTTTTGTAGCTGTTGTCGATTTTTTGGTAACTTTTGTCGACGTTTTAGCCAAAGATGATGTTGATTTAGTACTTGGTACCGTTGCCTTTGGTTTAGTTGGAGCTGGTGTTGTTGTTGCTGCTGCTGCTGCAGGTGTTGCTGTTGCAGTGGCTGGTTTTTTAGCTACTTCGACTTTCTATTTAATTTTTAAAAATAAAAATAAAATGAATCATTACAAGAGAAAGAAAAAAACGAATTACTTCAGTTTTTGGTGCAGCTGGAGTTGCTGCAACTGGTTTTTTAGTAGCAGCTGAAGCTTTTTTTGTAGCTGATGTAGCTGTCTTTTTGTCAGTCATGTTGGAATTTTATGTATAAAGACTAAAACTGATCT